GCAATGTCTATAATGCAGTGATTTTATGTGTTGTGTTTTGTATAATCACCACACTGTCTTCCGCAGTGGAGACACCATCTGAAAGTTTCTAGAGGACTCTAAGGTTCTGGTATCTGCTTATCCTCCCAGATGCTTTCACAGTTTAGGTGACCCTAGCCATGAGCAAAATTTCATGGAGGTCATGAATGCCTTTTTCTAATAGTTGCTGATGTTGGGTATTTTTCCATATTTTTACCAACTACATGAATTTTGAACTCCCTTTTCTATTTCTTAAAAAAAATACCATTTGAGATTTTGACAGAAATGGTATTGAATCTGTGGATCTCTTTAGACAAGTATGGACACCTTAATACGAACTCTATCAATCATAAATATAGAATGTCTTCCTATCTATTAATATCTTTGTTGATGTCTTTCAGCAGCATTTTGTAATTTTAGTGTAAAAGTCTTTGAAACACTAGAAGAAAGGATTTTGGAAGTTTTTATCATATTAATATAATCAATGCTTGAGCAGGTAAGTTTACCCTGATCTAAACATTGTACAATGTATATGTGTATCAAGACATCACATTAACTCAAGTTGTTAACATTAATGGCTTAATAACTAATAAATGTAGTTTTTAAAATATCCAAAACACATTAAAAGATGCTAATAAATTAATCAGTCTTTTGCTTCATTGGTAAATGTGTTGTTGAGAAGTTTATTCCTTCTGATGCCATTGTAAGTAGAATTTGTTTTCAAATTGTTTATTGTCAATGTATAAAAATATAACTAGCTTTTGTATACTCAGCTTTTATCCACAATTTCGGGATTCATTGCTAGTTATTTGTCTTTTGTGCAATCTTCAGAGTTTTCCACATATAAAGTCATGTTATCTGTGAATAGTAGAAAAATGTATTTCTTCCTCTCCAACTTGAATATCTTATATTTCTTTTTCTTGCCTCATTGCTTGGGCTCCAACTTCCAATGTTTGAATAGAAGAAGTACTTCAGCATGAGAGAAATTTTTTCAGCGTTTCCACCAGTGAGTTGGATGAGATTCTAAAATAGGAATGGTATCTGTAAAATAAAATTGATAAAAATACTAATAATCTATATTTTGTTAATACTATACCAGCATTGCTTTCTCTGTTTTTCTAATTGTAATTATGTAAGGTTGAACATTGGGAAAGCCTAATAAAAGGTATATGGGAGCTTTCTGCATTATTTTTGTTTCTCCTTTGTAAACCTACAAAGATTTCCAAGTGACAGGTTGCTTTTATAATATATGATATTATCATTGTTCTTGACTGCCCACCAGAACTTGAATGTATGACTCTTTGCTGAAGACACCATATACTTCAATCATCGGACATAGAGAAACCAAGCTGGAACTGAACTATTAGCTTCCTCCTTGCTAGGGGATGCTTTGCTAGTGTTCGAAAGGGATATACAGGCTGGAGAGAGAGAGAGAGAGAGAGAGAGAGAGAGAGAGAGAGAGAGAGAGAGAGAGAGAGGAGACATTAAAAGCCTTACCCAAATATGAACCTTGTAAGCAATAATAGCAACCTGCAATTGTTATAGCAACCTGTTATGGAGGTAATCAACTGCTTTCTGATTGGACTTGAGGTCTACTCTATAGGAGGAAACTAACACCTGGTACCTGATCAGTAACCATGGCTGAGGAAGGCAGAGGCCCTAGGAGGGGAACTTGCTACTACTGCTTGAAAATTGGCATGTTGTTAAACTGCCACCTCAATACTCATGTTTATATCTGTAGATTAGAGTGGCTCTCATCCGTGGTCAGAGAAACTTCTTACTGCCTTGGGCAGTGGTCAAGAAAGAGATTCATAAGTGGTCGAAGTGCCTAGAATAAGTGACAGTGATGTACTCAGCCCTAAATAAGACAAGTAACATCACAAAGGCTCAGAAAACACCACAGAAGAGGGTAGAAAGAATGTAAGAGAAAGGGGACGAGAGCATAGGCAGCAAAAAGCCATCTTGTGGATGTGACCAAGTCATTGCACCCAGGAACTCAGAGCATCTATGGTCACTTGCATTAGATCTTTGCGAGACTGGACCATCAGCACTTCACCATGGACAGGGATGGTCCCATGAGGATCTACAGGCAGTGCGCAGCTTTGGGGAGGAGATGTCATTTTCTTCAGTGGTGAGGTCACTCATGAACTGTCTGTTCTCCAGTTAATAGCCTCAGCCACACTCGTGCAAGCCAATCTCTAGCTGGACTCAGTGGGTCACACACAGAAAGGAGACAGGAGAGCAGCGTGGTGACCTGGAAAGAAGCATTTCAATAGCAAAGGGAATGAGGGTGGGAAAAAACTGTCGAAAATGAAATGAGTGGATGTTTAAAGTCCAGAAGGATGCTTTGGTATACAAAAAGAGGAGGTAGCACTGTGTGAACCTTTGGGTCTCAAAGGATCTTTTCAGGAAGACGGGCCCCGCTTCAGTCTTCATGAATTAGTTCTCTTAGGAGGTGTTCAGCACGATGCCACTCTGCAGTTTGAAGCTCCTGAAAAGAGTTGTTCACTTGGTGTATTTAGAAAGAACTAGGTACTGTGCTTTGGCATATTCAAGCTTTCATTGGAGGAATTTCTCAATTAATATCTGAATTTATACTGTGGGAAGTTCTCAAGGGCAATTTGTTTCATAGCTGAAACATGAAGGTATCTTTCCAGGGTTGGTTGTGAATATTAACCAGTGGTTAATAAAGAACTTCATCCATGGTAGGTACTCAATAAATACCCTTTCTTTTGTCTTGTTGGAAACATTTTAGAGTAGAAAAGAAAAACAAGATGTGGTCCCATGTCCATCCTAGCTCTTACGAGGACAAAATACAAAGGTGTCCAATGGTTACCAAGAACACTGTCCATTCTGGTCTAAGCAGATGTTAAATTCCCTCCAGAGCAACAGGGTGCCCCAGAGCAAAATGCACACTAAGGGAATGGGGGATAGGGGCATGCAGTGTACAGCAGACCCAGGCCAGGCCAGCTCTCTATGCACAGACAGAGATAGGAATGTGGCTAAGAAGAAGAGAATTAGATAGCTGAAGACGGATATGTCTGGGTAGGTACCACATCACATTACACAAGAAAGCAGTGGAAGACACACATGTGAGCTCAGCATGGATGTGAGGAAGCAGAGGAAACCCCTGGCCAGGGAGAAGAGAGGAAAAAACCCTGGAGATGGGGACAGGCAGGCTGAGTCATGATCAGCCCAAAGCCGGGGGAAATGGGACTGACTGCGAGTAAACATATGGGTTGAGGGAGGCGATCTGTGCTCCAGGCTGGACTGTATTTACCAGTCACAGAAGTGTTTTAAACAGCGAAGCCAGGTGATGGGCCCATAGCCCAGTCCTCCGGGCTCAGCTCTGGTGCAGAAAACCACAATTGTTTTGGCAGCTTTCCGTAGAAAACATGTTTAGGTGCCTATAAAATCACCAAACAGCCAGAGGACTGAACTGTGGTCTGCTCTGGTGGAACAAAGCATGGGGGGCGGGGGAACTAAGAACTGATGAAGTTTTTTTGGCAAAGCCTCTGGATGGCAGCTATCAAAATTGTGACTACATATACTGTTGACCTAGAAATTCCAGTCTAGAGAAAAAAATCAATTCTATTCTAATCTAGAAAAAAACCTACATATAAACACAATAATGAATATGCAGGGTTTTTCAAAGGAATCTTATCTATTAATGAAAATTATATATTTAAAATATATATATATATAGTTATATATTTAAATGAGAGGATAAATAAAGTATAAAATAAAGCATTACAGAACCAATAATGGAATATATGGAGGGGACTGTAGGGGATGTCTCGGGCAGAAAGTACTTGCTGCACAAATGAGAATCTTGAATTCAGATCTGCAGCACCTAAGGAAAACGGTTGAGCTCCCTGACATGCTGGTAGTTCCTGCGCTGTGGAAACAGACATGTGTCCTGGAGCTCTGGACAGCCAGTCTAGCCAAACTCTTCAGCTCCACGTTCAAATGGGAGACCCTGTCACAAAAATAACAAAGTGGAGAAGTGATTGAGGAAGACACCCAAGATTGACCACTGTTCTGGGGTTACCTGGGAGGGCAGAGTCTGTTGACCTCGTTGAGGTGCCTTCTGTGGCTGAGGTTGTACCTGAAGAATGCAGACAGTGTATAGAAAGGGGATAGAAAGCCTAGTCTGGAAAATGTGGGGAAAGGAGAGGAAGCTGAGCATCCAGGGAAACATAAATCTCACCCAGGTAGGACATGCTGGGTCCTTCCCAGCAGGATCACTATCACCCATAGCCCACCTCCAACAGACTCTGAACTCCCTGGTAATTCCAAACCCCTAGATGTCAAGAAAAGGAGTGAGGAATGGGGGACATCTGCCCCCATTTGGGACTCACCCAGGACCAGCTCTCTCCGACTCCACCATGAGATAGATAAACCACCATAAAAAGTAAGTTCTGGCCAGGTGGTGGTGGCGCACGGGTTTAATCCCAGCACTGGGGAGACAGAGGTAGGCGGATCTCTGTGAGTTCGAGACCAGCCAGCTCTACAAGAGCTAGTTCCAGGACAGGCTCCAAAGCTACAGAGAAACCCTGTCTCAAAAATAAATAAATAAATAATAAAATAATAAAATTAAAAAAAAACAAATAAAGAATAAGTTCTGGTACTAAAGAGGCCAACAGTAGCAACAACCATGCTTGGCCCATTCTGTGCATCTCATTTGGTTGTCAAGCAGGTGCCTCACACTGCCTGTCCACCTGCAGGCGCCTAGAAAATTCATTTGCCTCTGACTTTTTAAAATACCTATTCATTTACTGTGTGTAAGTGTATCTGAGTATATTCATTGTGCACCACGTGCATGCAGGAGTCCAAAGAGGTCCCAAAGGGTTTTGAATCATCTAGAACTGGCCACCAGCGACTGGGAGCAGAAATGTGGGTCCTGGGAACAGAATCCAGGTCCTCTAGCAACCAGTAAGTACGTTTAATCACGAAGCCATCCTTTCTAGTCTCACCTCCTTGCCTGTGATCTTTGAGTACTTTGGGTCAGCTCAGCACTGTAGGAGGGAGGTTCTCAGAGAGGAGGGAGGTTCTCAGAGAGGAGGCAGCCTCACTTCCAAAGGGGACACCCCCACAGTAGAGAAGCAGCCGAGGCAATGTGCCCCATCCCAGATGCCCAGGCACGAAGAACTCAAGCAGATGGTGGGAGAGCGGAGGGGCCACTTCAGTGGACCCAGGGTTATAATCCAGAAATGAGTTAAAAGGCCTGGACTGAGGAGACAAAACAAAAAATCAGATTCAGTTGAGGTTCATAAAACTTCCGAAGCATATACTCAAAGTGCCTTGGCAACCAGCTCCAGAGCCTTCCCATAAATAACGCAAGGATGAAGAGGTGAGGAAAGTGAAACCAGGGACCAGGGGAAGGTCCCTTCTCCCACAGGGATACAAAAGAGGGTGGGGCCCCTGCAGTGGGCCATGGCGCTGGAAATCAGGGACAATGTGGTACCTTTGGGAGGCCTGGTTCATCTTAGTTTCTTCATCCATTTTACTGTTTGCAGGTAGGTGATACTGGCGCCGTCCATTTAGCATCTGATTATGTTTGCTGGAAAAGGCAGGGCTCAGGAGGGGGTTTCCACACTGCCAGCATAGTTCACAAACACCACCAGTCCCTCTGTACCTCCACCACACTGTTCCACCTGACTTCCTTACCTAGAAGGAGTTCTTCTGCATGGGAACTCTCTAGGCAGCTGTAGACACAGAGCAGGCAACAGAGTCCCCATTTGCTGGTGACTGGAAGAGCTGAAGATGATTGTTTCCAGAGGAACACTAGGAGATGGGCGAGGAGCACACAACTCTACCAGGATCTGCAAGAAATTCCGTCCCTCTCCCTGAGCCCATGTCCCACCGTGAGTTCATGTCCCTCTCCCTGAATTGATGTCCCTCTCCCAGAGCCTACGTCCCTCTCCCAGAGCCCACGTCCCTCTCCCAGAGTCCACGTCCCTCTCCCAGAGCCTACGTCCCTCTCCCAGAGCCCACGCCCCTCTCCCAGAGCCCACGCCCCTCTCCCAGAGCCCACGTCCCTCTCCCAGAGCCCACGTCCCTCTC